TTGCTCATTTTTTGTATGACTCTCATTTGAGCAACTTCATCACATTATGTGACATTTTAAACCCATTGATATATTTTACATTGACAATACTGTCATACACTGAACATCTTTTTCATTTAGAATGTTATTTAGAGTCTGTTTGGCAACACATAAAATGGCTGAATATATTGAAATTGATGAAGTTCTTATTGAAAACCGCTTAACTGGCTCAATATACTGAATTATGGAAAAATTGAATTTAAAATATATTTATTTAAAAAATATACTCCGTATAAACATTTATTTGAAACATAAGCTAAAATTTTCGTTTATAATAACTTAATCCAATTTAGGTAGAAATTTAACATCGGCCTTTCTTATTTTGATCATTACACAATTCAGTGTGCGAAATAAAAAATTAAGTATTTGATGAAAAGTTGACTGATAAAGTTGACAAATCCAAAACAGGGTCACCAAATGGCACATAATTTCAAATGAAAAATGAGCATATAAACATTTTTGTATTATATAAGGGCTAGTCTTTTTTATCAATTATCCTTTTTAATCTATTTATATTCAAAGTAGTATAACCTTTTTATTTTAACTTTAACTTTTACAAAATATATTCAAATTCATAATTCTAGTGACCTTTGCAATAGACACTTGAGCATATAAAACTGTTTAAATTGGTATGAATATACTTTTATAGTCACTTTGATATAATTTTTCACATAATTATAAATAGGTTGCTTAATAAATATTTATATATTTTTTAAATTTTTTATGTGCAATACTGAAATGGTGTGTTCGGTTCTCTTCTTAAAAATATAAAAACAAAAAAAAACAGAATTATAAAAAAACAAAAAAACAGAATTATTTTATATTTTATATATAATTATAGAGACGGTTAATAAATTATATTTTTATATCCGATAATGATCTCAAACGAAAGACCGCAAAAAATTATAAATTTTGATATATGTTTTGTAAAAATTGGAGCAAAAATGAAAAAATTACAACACTTTTAAAACATTGCGGTTTTTATAGCTTGGGTCCCACCAAATGGAATTCCATGCGCCACCCTTCCTTTCCTTCGGTGTGGTGTTTTCCGTACACTTGGAGTGAAAAGGCCACATGTCATTTTTATAGAAAATGAGTGTATTGTGGAGAGCTCGACACCTAGGGCCTGTTTGGATGGAGTGTTTGGAAGTGTTAGTAATGGAAGTGTTAGTAAGGGCTAGGAAGGGAAGGGAAGTGTAAGTGTTAGACATAATTTTACCTTGTTTGGGAGAGTCAAATGAATGAAGTGTTAATAATGGAAGTGTTAATAATTTTACCTTGAGGCAAAAGAAACGAGTAAAGAGAAGAGATGAAAAAACAAACTATCAGACCCGTGGGAAAGACATTCGAAGTGAAATGTCGAAGCATTTTATGTTTTTCAGGTAAATGAGAAGGGTAATAATTATCCAACACCTCAAAACACTCCAAATCGGGGTGTTAAAAAATGGACAATTGAGGTGTTGGGAAGGTTATTATTAACACTTCCTAACCATTACTAACACTTCTTAACACCTCTGGATTTTTCTCCCAAACAAGTGTTAGCATCAACACTTACTAACACTTCCATTACTAACACTCATCAACACTCAATCCAAACAGGCCGCTAGGATTAATGAAGGGTAAAATTGTATTTTTATGAGCTATTTCTTTTCTTATATATAAATAGATTAGTAACGTGGAATGATGTTTTACGGAGTACCTAATTTCATCATTTCCAAATATGGGATGTACTTTAATTTTTTATTTATTTATATCCAATCTTTCAATTACTTTCCAATAATACCATATCGTTATCTTTATTTTTTATTGTCCGCGCCTCATTATGGCTATAAGTAACCAATCCAAATAACAGAAAAATATACTATTTTCTTTGAAGAGAAACATTCTTGCAAAACAAAAACGTTCTGCATGGCTCCCAAAATGTTATCTGCTCTCTCACTCTTGGTTTTCATGGTGATCGGATTTCGTAAGTCCACTATTTCATTTATTCAGTGCACTGTTTTACAAGATGGAGGAAAAGTTTCACTCAATTTCAATATATCCGCCACATCATTCATCACTTAAATTTATTATATATTTTTGGCACTTTTACCGTCATTGATCTAAAATTTAACATACCAGATCTAAAATTTCATTTTTTGTAATTCCAATGTAATTTCATTTATTGTTTGAAATAAAGTTCATATAGAATGCACTATTAGATTTATTTAGTGCACTTTTACAAGATGGCGGAAAAGTTACACTCAATTTTGAAATTGTCGCTGCATCTTTCATCATTTTTATTTTTCGACATTTTTGGCACTTTTACAGCCATCGATCTCAATTTTACCAAAAATGTCATTGTGTTATTTAATATTGGCTTAATTTGAGCAATGTTAAAAATGTGCAACAAAAGAGGTCCATGTGCACCACATTGATTTAAATGTGAGTGTGCTCACGTTAAGTATCGTTCTCATTGGAACCGTTTTCTGTGTGTGTTAATACTTATTAAGTGAAAATGGTTATTTATTTTAAAAATTAAACAAATGAATCTCGCTTTAATAATATTTGGTGTACCTTTCCCCCCTAATACTAAACTTTTTTTTTTTTTTGAATATCAATATGTTGACTTATTCACAATGAAAACAAAAACTGAACGTTTACAGACATTATAAACCACTTAAGAAGCAATACAGGTAGAAATCATACAATAATCCTCACTACAGTGAACAGTTTTCATTCAAGATCTCAAACTCTGTACAGGTTCCATTACGGATTCTCCACGCCTTCATCTTTTACATTCCCGAATTTCTGCTGGAAGGAATCTTGCCTCTTTAACCACATCATATGCCCCTGGAGACCAGCGGCCCATGCGATTAAGAAAGACGCGATCCAGAACTTTTTCTCTTTGAGGATGTCCTTTCCCCCCCTAATACTAAACTTTTGTTACTAGTGTTGACCAAGAAAAATGAACTTGTAATACTTTAAATTAGGTGTTGATTGAGCATGTGAAACATTTTAATGTTGGTGGTATACTGGTATGAAACGTTTATGTAAGAGATATTACTATGTATGTCTGGGTAAGTAATCTATATTTTATATTAATTTGCAGATACCTTATCGGGTGTGAATGCAGGAGATGTTGCCCATCCCTGCAAAAAAGATTCAGATTGCCTTGATCCAAGGTGTTTCTGTGATGTTATTAAGTTCTGTAATTGTAATATACCTTATCCTCCAATGCCTTCTGATTGGGCTCAAAGGAAGGAGATACCAATGATAAAAACATAATGTATGCATGACAAATATATTATTGTATTGAATAATTATTACAAATAAAAATGTATAAGAAGATGGTTTTGTGAACCTATATATTATGCTTTGATTTTGAACCTAAAAATCTTTCAAGTTTTGAACTTTGCCTTGTTAATCTATTTGAATATTTGATTACCACAGAGGGTCTGGAGCAATTGTATAGCTGTGTTTTGGTTTTGTTATTTTGAGTTTTGTAAATCTATTTCATTATTAATTGAATCTTTCAGGATATAATAAAATATGGAGTAGTGTTTATTCATTATTGTAAATTTATAATGATTAAAGATAGAATTAAAGATTAGGGAATGAATTATTTATTACATAATTGAAGATTAGAAAGTAATTTATTTCATGTGTGGACATGTAAGAAAGAATTTAAAAGTTTTACCAAAACGTTTAAATTTTAGAACTACAAAATATTACATAATTGAAGTATATGTTTTTTTCTTCTAGAGATCGGATCGAAACGAACATCACTAAGCTCAAACTCGGCTTGAATAACTATTCGAACTCAGAATCTAGTATGTTTTCAAGACAGAATCTAGTATGTTTTCAAGATCGAAGCTCGTTAACCTCGGTGGTTAAATAAAATTTAAAATCACGTTTGAAATCAAGTAGTTCGAAAACATCTCAATTTGATAAGAATCATAAGCTAAACCTTTTTGTGTTCAGTAACAAAAAATTTACTGCTTAGCCCACCCCACCTCTCATTTCTGGATCCGCCCCTGCATTCATATGAAAGTAAAACCTCTAAATATATATGTTTGCAATACATAAATAAAGACGGAACCTTGGTTTCAATTAATCTAGGCATGACAATGGGTCGGGGCGGGTACTGCAAGATCCAGACCCGCCCCGTGACTTGCGGGGCGGGTCCGCCCCGCCCCGTGACTTGCACGGGTCCAAACTTGTTGACCCATGACCCGCCCCGCCCCATTGTAACCTAATTAGATAGTATGTATTTTTATTTGTGGGAAGTTGTTACCAATTGAATCTACATAAAGTTTATCTCTAAATAATAATTAAAAATTAATATATTAAATCAAATTCATGATATGCTAAAACTTTCAAAAATTAAGGAAATATTACTCAGACTTGAATAGTTAATCTATTTAATTATATTAATAATTGAATATATATATTAAAATGGTATATATAAAGAAGACATTGATAATCCGTCGTTCATCTCATTCTAATATATATTAAAATATTATAAGATCAAAGAATTTATGATTTATTATATACACACATATGTATGTTGAAGTATATTTGTAGTATAATTTAATAAAAAGTATGTATACTTATATATTGAGCGGGTCGGGTCGGGTCGGGGCGGGTCGGCACAGGTCAATACTAATACCCGGACCCGCCTCATTGTATAGGAGGGGTGGGGTGGACCCGCCCATTTGCAAGACGGGGCGGGCCGGACCCGCCCCAAATGTCTCGGGCCAGGGCGGTTCACTGCGGGTCGGGTTTTTTTGACATCCCTAAATTAATCCTATCATTTTAGGCTATTACGAATATAAAACCTCCTAAAACACAAATACATATGCCTGCCACAAATGAATCAGCTGGTCACTTTATCTTCTGGTTTCTGCAAGATTATACTTCACCTATTCAGCTCTAGATGCAGAAATCTGCACCTCAGCAAACCCCCCTTAAAACTGCATTTTTGCACTAAAATGCACAGATAGTGCTTTATTAAGCTCATCTTAGACTGTCTCTGTCATTGCAACAAAGTCAAACTTGTGGATCAGAACACATAACCACATGTCTCTTATACCAAACTATGAAACCAAATACATAATCAAAACATTATATCATCAAATATTAGAGATCATATAGCTGAAAAATAAAAACATCCCAACTTCCCTTTCTTCTTTGAGGCAAAACTGATTGAATAAACAACACAGTAATACAGTGCCAACATACATATAATAAATACCCAAAGATGCAGAACGACATCCATTTTGGGCAAAACCCAAAGATGCAGAATGAGAGAACTAGTGTTGAGCCCATTGGATACTCTTAATGTCAATACCCTCCTTAACCATCTCATAAAGTGGGCTCATTTCCCTCAACTTCTCAACTTGGTTCACTGTAAGCTCCACGGCTCTATCAATCTCTTCCTCAGTAGTGAACCTTCCAATCCCATATCTAATTGAGGTGTGGGCCATGTCCTCTTCCACACCCAATGCCCTCAAAACATAAGATGGCTCCAAACTTGCACTTGTGCATGCACTCCCACTTGATACAGCAACCTCTTTAAGCCCCATCAAAAGGCTCTCTCCCTCCACATAAGCAAATGACAAGTTCACGTTCCCGGAATAACGCCTCTCTTCACTTCCGTTCACCACCACTCCTTCAAGCTTAGACTTTATCCCATTTAACAGCCTCTCCTTCAAACCATTGATCCTTTTCTCATCATAATCCATTTCCTTCTTCGCAACCTCACATGCCGCTCCGAACCCCACCACCAATGGAGTTGGCACAGTCCCACTCCTAATCCCTCTCTCCTGTCCACCACCATTCATTTGGGTCTCAACCCGAATCCTCGGTCTACGTCTCATGTATAGGGCTCCAACACCTTTAGGCCCGTATATTTTGTGCCCACTAAGGGACATCAAGCTTATGTTCATCTTATCCACGTCAATTGGGATCTTCCCCAATGCTTGTGCTGCATCTGTGTGGAAAGGAACATTGAATTCCTTGCATATTTTTCCTATTTCCTCCATGGGCTGGATAACCCCAATCTCATTGTTCACCATCATGACCGAAACAAGACCTGTATCCGGCCGAATAGCTGCACGAAGCTTCTCTAGGTCAATAAGCCCGTCCGGCTTGACCGGGAGGTATGTGACGTCGAAGCCCTCTTGCTGCAGGAAACGGCAGGAGTCAAGGACGCACTTGTGCTCAGTCTGTGTGGTGATGACGTGTCGCTTCTTCTCCCTGTAAAAATGCATGACGCCTTTGACGGAGATGTTATTGGATTCCGTGGCGCCGGAAGTGAAGATAATCTCCTTAGGAGAAGCGTTAATCAGGGCCGCGACTTGTCCACGGGCCGTCTCTACGGCGTCGTCCGATTCCCATCCGTAGAGGTGAGTCCGGGAGTGAGGGTTTCCGTAGCAAGAGATGTAATAAGGGAGCATGGCGTCAAGCACACGAGGGTCCACCGGTGATGTCGCCTGCATATCCAGGTAGAGAGGTCTTCCAGCGATCTTCACACCTTTCACAGTGATTCCGCTGGTCCCATCTTCGTAGGGCTCCACTGCCGCTTCCGCCGCCGCCGCAGAGCTCGAGAGATTACGCAGAAAAGTGGAGGGTTTAGCGACTTTACCTCGGCAAAAGGCTTGTAAAAGCTTCGACGCCATCGTTGGTACCAGAACACTTTCCTCCGCCGATAAATTGAGCTATAACAGTTGAAAGCTTTTCGATTCGAAATCTGGAAAGTGGAAACCCTAGAAAAACGGTGGATTTTGATCGCCGTCTCCTCAACGGCGGTGTTGGGCTGTGATATAAGAGCTACAGTCGTAAAAAACGAAAGCACACGTGGCCGCATCTCACCCATTCGTTGTCTCTAAGCATCTTTCGTTTAAACGTCGTCGTATTACGTGTGGCGTTAATAAATACGACACCATGGCAGATAGACACCAAAGTCTACACTCCAGCGGAAAATATAAGGATTACGCGCTTTGGAGCGCGTGGGTAGCACGAAAGGTCAATGAAAATGGAAAAATTGGAATCGTGAACGCCAGCGGGTTTTACACCGTAACCTCTTTTTCATTAATGGGTAGAAAGAAGGAGAAGATGACAAACAAGGAGCAGATCTAACTCAGGAAATTCTACTTCCCACCGACAAACAGTTTCTTCTCTGCATTGTTGGGCCTCTCTATAACTTCAGCCCACATTTTATCACACTGATTATTCTTGAAGAAGATGGTTCTTGAATCTTGATTGAGAATTTGAGTGTACCTTTTCTTTACTTGGTAAGTATTAAAAAAAGAGGTTACTTTCTTCATGCATCTGTGGTATGGCCTTTCTTATCTCAAGTTTTAACCCCTTTTCCCTTATGAAATCTCTTTTGCATTGTGAATATTCTCCAAGATTGCTCTTTTAGTTTTGTCTAAAAATGATTATATCTTTGATCTATGTGATACTTTGAATCTTTGATTGAATTCAAGTTTGTGGTGTTGGTTCTGTTATGTGCTTAACATTGATGTTTCTTGATGAAGTGATGAAATTTTCTGTTAACTTGTAATTTATGAATGAGATCGTCAGATTTCTGGGAAGAAAGGGTCTTAGAAGATATGAATTCATTCATTATTGTTTTATCTTCAGATATGGTTAAATCTTGGATTATGGTTAAGGTTTTAAAGTCAGACTTTAGGCATGGTGTTGATATACTCTCCTAGTTAACAATTCTACTGAAAGTTTTCCTCTGTGGTCGTAAGACGTAATCAAATGCATATTGTAATGTTAATTTACCCTGAACATGTTACTCATTACATCATACTGTGTATGTTATTTCAGTCTACCAAACTAAACCAAAGAATGTTTGCTAGGATTGTTGAACTTCAATGAGAACTCTAGGGTCTTTTTGGATCTGGGAAAACACTAGGAAAAGGTAATAAGGGAGTAAAATAAAAGTTGGGCTGGACTTGATAAAAAAAATTAGAGATTTTTTGGATTCTGAGGTTTATAAAAGACTAAGAAATCTAAAAATGGTTTAAAAGTAATTATATTAATTTACTTTGTATTTTCCAAGGTAAACGCTTACATGAAAAATAACATCCCTTAAGGGGGTGTTCCAGATATCGAATGTCTTGGATTTTAGAATTATATTTAGAACACGATATTTTGGTATGATATATATGGATACTGATTTTATGCATATATGTCTTTTATAAAGGATTATGCAATATAAATATGGCTAAAATTAATTATATTTAATACACTTCATGTTTTTCTAAAAGGTAAAACCAAACGTAAAAAACTATATTACATGCCTTTCTTCTCATTTCCCTGGCATTTTCCGTGATGTCTTCAAAGGCTGGAGCTTGTTTTCTTGGAACTTAGTTACCTCAGGTTCTCAAATAGTCATTATTCTTTCCAACAGTGTATATTTGTTACCTCTCAGTTAGCCAGTTTGGTTCTTTACATTCATGTATGCCTATGATGACTTAATTTGGTTAGCTATGGCCTTCCTAACTTCTGCACTTAAAACTTTATTTATGTGCCTTTTCTGCATATCATGAATTCATGATGCAACTGGCCTATCTGTTATTGGAACATGAAGAGTTGTGGAGAACTGAAGCTTTTCTGGAAGGCTGAACGAGAAAAATAATCATGTTCAAGCTGTTGCCACGGCGGAACAACAAAAACAATGGCTTCAAAGTGAAGCATGCTCTTCAGATATGTGTTCTGGTAGGCGTTTGCATTTGGCTGCTTTATCAAGTCCAACACTCCACTAATAAGAAAGAAGCATCTGGAGAATCAACTAGCCTCTCTGAGAAGGTGGAGACTGGTAATAGTATCTTAAACCTGGGAAGGAAAGACCTTAAACCTCAAACAGATGAAGAAGATGCTGAAGGTTTAACAAACAAGGATCCAGATGAAGAGGTGGAAGATGAGAGTGAGCCAAATAATGATGGAGATGTAAAAGCAGAAGATAATTCAGAGACAGAAAGCAATGAAGGTAAGGAAACTATAGAGGAAAAGGTGCAAAAGGATGAAGAAGAGGAAACTGGTAGTGAGGGAGAGAGAGATATGGAACACAAAGATGTGGAGAGAGAAAGGGCAGATAATGATGATACCAGAGAAGAGAAGAATGAGAATGTTAGTGAAGATGGGACAGACAGGGAGACAGAAGTGGAAAATGGAAGTGAAGAAGAGAATAGCGGAAGCAAAGAGGATGGAGATGAGGAAACAAATGAAAATGGAGGTGAACATAAGGATGCTCAAGTTGGGGAAAACAATGACACTGAATCAAGAGATGAAAAGCAGGAAGAACATGGTGAGAACTCTAGTCAAAGTGATGAGAAAATCATGGATGATTCAAACTCAACTATTTCATCGACGAATGGGACAATTTCAGAAGCCTTAGCTGATGGACTAAGTGACAGCACAGATTCAACTGGAGGGGAGGAGAACAATGATTCTATTAATACCCATACAGAAGAGACCGTCAAAGCGTCAATTGATGATGAAATAACTACCAATTTGGATGAAAACAAGTCAACAGATTTGTTAAACTCCGGAAATGAAGAATTGCCAGAAAACAAGAATCCAGATGAATCATCCAGTTCAGTTTCTCAAGAAGAAAAAGATGTCCTTACAGATGTGGTAACTGAAGGAAATAGTGATGAACATGCCACCAATGATTAAATAGATCAGGTGGATTCACATGTTCAGTCATGTGTCCTCTTTCTTTAATTCCTACTCTTAAAGAGTAAATTGAATTACTGTAAATGCTGCTTGCCAGGCAGCAAAAAGCTATATTGTATAAGTATATTCACTCTCTGCAAACTCTGATATAGGAGACAAAAAGTCTCTGTCATATGAATTTGAAAACTTTGGTAAGAAGCGCCTGTGAAAAAATTCATTTTATTAGTGTTGTTATTTGTCGAGTTTATGATTCCATTTAGCATATTCAGTGTTTTATGACTTCGAGATACATTAGTGAATATCTACTGTGTAATTAGATGAATTTGGTTGAACAAACTTGGGCTAAGAAGAAAATTCTCATTAGTGAATGTCTACTGTGTTGTTATCTGTCACTATTGTTCAATTGCTAGCTAATTTTCATTTCGGGCAACTTAAGTTTGTTCAATTTTGTTTTGACTCAAATATAAATATACTACAAAATTAATAAGTTTGATTCGCTATGGCTTTACCTTTTCAATCATTGGAGGGAAAGATAGTGGTGATTGTAATAACTCTGGTTTGGAAGAAACAGTAAAAGCTTCAAATTATGATCAAATAACTACCACAATGAAGAGTTGCCCCAAAACAAGACTCCAGACGAATCATCCATTTCAGCTTCTCAAGAGGAAAAAATTCACTTACAGATGAGAACTGAAGGAAGCAGTGATGAACATGCTGCCAATGATTAAAGAGATCAGATTTATTCACATGTTTAATCCTGTGTCCTTTTTCTTTAGTTCCCACTGTTTAAGGGTAAACCAAATTGCTCTAAGTTCTACTTTCCAGGCAGCACTAAAGCTATAATGTACAAGTATATTTATTGCCTGCAAACTTCGATAAAGGAGGCGAAAAGTTTCTAGCATATGAATCGGAATACTTCTGTAAGAAGCGTGTATGAAAGATTTCATATTATTAATATTGTTATCTTTCAGATTCAGATTCAGCGTGTTTTATTACTGAGATTCATTAGTGAATATGGGCAAGGAAGAAAAAACTCACTGAATAAGGCAAGTTTTGAAAAGAAGGATAAATGAATAAGGAAGTCGTGATGGTGTCGCGGAATTATTGACGTCGAGGAAGATATTACTGCGGGATAGCGCTCAGGGGAGTACTGCCATGCATCATCCCCATGTGCATACCCAGCTTCTACAATAACTCTTCCAAATCCCCTGAGTTTCTTCATCACTTAAAATGATTGACGGTTTTCAAGTTTCAACCAAATTTCATAAATCTCATCTTGATCAGACACCTAGGACAATGTTATCATTTTGTTAAGCAGAAGTGATGCATCAGTGCAACAACAACAACAATGTTGTGAGCTGATTCTATTTCCATTTTGTTACACAGTAAATATTGTAATATTGTTGGTTCTTTTCAGACCAAAGACCAAATATAGAAAATCCAAATAATATACGAAGTACTCCGTATATGTTTGGCTTCATCTTGGTCTTTTTATTTGTCTTTAACCCCTAGTTTGGATGATTCGGTTAATTTCACTTTGCTTTCAATTTTCCAGTTTTTTGCAAAAAAAAGTGCAATTTGGTAGAAAGAAACAATTGCAAAGTATAAAAACCTGAAATATACAATAAGTAATCATACAACATGTAATGAAAAAAAAATGTAGGATACAAAAATAGAAGCAATTTGAAAAATGTAACAAAAATGCATCATCGTGTTATAAAATAGGGGCAGGGAATTCAGGATACAATTCAGTTTTTATCTGCTTCGGTTCAATTTCGGTTTATCCAATTTAGAAGATAATGTACCAAACTAAAACCGTTTATGTTTTGGTTTGGTTATGGTTTGATTTGGGAGTTGTTCAGTTTGGTTAGGTTTCAAGTTCGGTTTCAGTTTAGGAGATAATGCACTGAACTAAAAACTGTTTATGTTTCAAGTTATGTTGGGGTTTAATTATCGTGGTCCAAAGGCTCAACATAGTACTTTGAGCTCTAGTAGGATCTTATATATATATGTTGGTGTATTTGGTGGGTGATTTATAGGCAGTAATGGCAAAGCAATGAGCAGAAGGAGAGAATGTAAAGTGCATCGAGTTCTATTAATGTAGGGAAATAATTAACATGCTTTTAACAATGAACATCACAACTTAACATCTTAATTAAATTGTATCATAAAATCTACCACCAAAGTTAACTTTCGAGGACTGGGAAGCTGTTCTCTTCACCTGATCTGAATGTTTCTGATCTGAATTTTTTAAGTTATGAACTGATTTGATCTGATCTGAATTTTTCAGATCTCATCTGATCTGAATTTTTCTGATCTGATCTGATCTGATCTGATCTGAATCTTTCTGATTTGATCTGAATCTTTCTGATCTAATCTGATTTGAATGTTTCTAAAATTATATTTATAATTATATTTAATATAGTTATATTTTAATTATAAATATAATTTTGATTATAATCATAATTATATAAAAATTATAATTATAATCATGATTATAATTAAAATTAATATTATAAAAGGTATATTATTTATTATACCTATTACACTAAATATAATTATAGATATAATTATAATTTTAATTATATTTCTAATTATATTTATTTCTATAATTGTAATTATAATATTAAGTTCTATAATTATAATTATACTGTATAATAATAATAATAATAATAATAATAATAGTAATAGTAATAGTAATAGTAATAGTAATAGTAATAGTAATAGTAATAGTAATAGTAATAGTAATAGTAATAGTAATAGTAATAGTAATAGTAATAGTAATAGTAATAATAATAGTAATAGTAATAGTAATAGTAATAGTAATAGTAATAGTAATAGTAATAGTAGTAGTAGTAGTAGTAATAGTAGTAGTAACAGTAATAGTAGTAATAATAGATAATAGTAATAGTAATAATAATAATAGTAATAATAATAATAGTAATAATAATAATAGTAATAATAATAATAGTAGTAGTAGTAATAGTAATAGTAATAACAACTAGAACAATATTAATAATAATAATAATAATAATTTTTATTATTATTATTATAAAAATAAAAGTGATAAATCATGTCTGAAATTTTCTGATCTGATATGAATTTTTCTGATCTGATCTGAATAAAATAAGAATAAGCAATAAGTAATAAGAATAAGACGAACAACTTCTAGAAAGCCGATTAGCCGAGTAGTTGTGAAGGTATAGAGCCTCTAATGATCGAATTTTGAGGTCCCGATTCCAAATGTAAAATTGAAACCTTATATTAATATAAAAAATTAAAAAAAAACTCGATCTACATACGTATACCCAAATCAATTGAATACTTATTAAATAATATAGTAAAAAATATTAAAAGTTACTTAATACATGATTGAAAGTAACACATCTAATTGTAAAAGGTGACTAAACTGACCAACGAAAAAATTGATGGATATCTTTTTTTTGCTTACTAATTGTATTTTAGTGATTAATATAATAGTATTAATATATAACATTACTATATAATAAAACAGAGTAATAAATTTTTTAAAAATTGGGACACCACAAATCAGGCGCCCTGTTCTGTAGAACCTATTGAACTTCCTAAAAATGCATTTGAAGGTTATATATCACGGTAATCATGAATAAAGTAACTATTATTGTTGAATGGTTTATTTGATCTATTTCAACCACATTGTTATAGAGATGGCATAGTCGACAACAATCGTGTTATATATAGTCCATTGAGATGTATTTGGAAAGGTTTGGTATTAAGTGGTTGTTTGAGATATATTTGGTTGTTACTTGTTAGGATACGGCCGCTGTAGCTTGGGATATATTTGTTTGGCCAGTTCGGGATACGATCATAAAAAATGAGTATATATTCTGCCATAACCCGTAAGTTTGAGGTTCAGTCTTGGTGTTGCATGTAGAATTTTGGGAGGCTTTTTCGTGTTAGCATGCCCGATCCACTTTTATAATTCACATCTTGGATGACATATAAACTTGTCGCATAAAACCGAATAAAATCAAATCAAACCTAAAAAAGTCGAATAACAAATCTAAATCGAACAAAATTGAATTAAACCAAAACACAATATGTTTTTTTACTTGGTAATCATTCTTTCAATTCCTAATCAGGATGATGAAGTATTTAATAACGATTAGCTATTTCTATACGTACTACGGAGTAATATTTTAAGGTACCACAGATTAGGTGATTAGGAGTTTATTAGGACGACCTGTGTGTTTAGGATTTTGTCATTTTTTAAATCCAAACTCAAAATTGAGGAACAATCATTCAATTACGATCTTGATTTTGATAAGTTCATGTTTTATATCGTATACCATCTATAGAAGTCACCATAAAATGAATCAAAGAAAACCAGCAAACCGATCCCGAATCCAGTAAGTAATCAAAATATATCCAAAATAACATCTTTATGTTGTAAAATGGTCGAATTGACAAGTGTCAATTGTTCATCCTTACTAGATTCGCACCCGTGCGATGCACGGAACATAAATTTAATAATTATTAGTTATATTAGTTAATGTACAATAAAAGTTATAATATGAATATATTATTAAAATTAGTACAGCATATCATAACAGTATAAATCTAATGTACAATAAAAAATTATAATTCAGGAAAAGCTAAAACAAATTAGAAAATATCATTATCATTAATCACATGTTAATGATAGCATTATTAAATTAAACATTTTTTTAAATATGATTATCGTAATTTTATTATATACAAAGCTCCGTGGAAAATTTGGCAAACTTGCCGCCAAAAGATACGGGGCAAAAAAGGTCTTGAAGGGGTCAACCCGGTCTTGATTATCGTATTAAAACATTTTTTTTAATTTTATTTTATAGTTTCTGTTTTTATTTTCGATTTATTGCAATTTTGACACTTTTTAATAGTTTAGATGTGTGAATTGGACATTTTTATCGGTTTTTTAACCTTAAAAAAAGAAATAAAACTTTTCTTTTTTACGGTTCGGGGTCTGAATTAGACCTTTTTTTAGTTCATGAACTAAATTGAGCTTACTATATTTGTATCAATTTCATGATGGGTGCATGATTGAACATTTTAATGTTCATGAGTGTGTGTTTACGTGTCTATATGTTTTTTTTTGGAAATATACATGTCTATATATAAAAGTCAATTTTTTTTGTAATGTCAGATTTCTTGCTATTCATTATACGGAGTAATATTTATTGCCTATATTTCACTAAATCTTATACTCCCTCCGTCCATGAAAAACTTCTTACTTTCCTTATTTGGATGTCCCTAATTTAACTTCACATTTCCTTAAATAACAAATTATCCACATCAAAACAGTGCAAAACAGTGTCAAACAGTGTCAAAACAATTTCAAAACGGTAAAATCTACCCCTAGTAATAAATTTATTTTCTTAAT